GGGGGGGGGGGGGGGGGTAAATGAAATAAAAATTACCTTTATTTTCTCGTTAAATTCTATATTTATCTTCTCCTTGAACTTTTCAACCTTTGTTTCCATGTTTCTCTCCGTATCCTTCTCCATCTCTTCCATCTTTTCCTAATCATTTTCATATTGGATAGACGATTATTGTTTAATAAGTGTAATACAGTATCTGCAGGAAATTTAAAGACAGATGTAATTTGTAAAAAGGGCGAGGGGGGCGATATTGAAGATCTAGGATCTAGTACAATTACCTTATTCAAAGAATAAATTAGGAAGATTTGAAAACATAAAAGAAATAAAGTAACACTTTACCATTTTTTACTTTTTTTAACTCAAAAATTCAGATATAAAAACACTCTTTTATTACTTAAATGATTTTACATTTTAAATATTTTCCAACAAATTATACACCCCTACAACTTCGCTGACCTGAAGCTGTTCGAGCTCTTTCTCCTTCATCTTAAGCCTGGTGACCTCAAGGCTGGTCAGGTTTAAGGTCTCACGAAGCTGACCGTTCTCTATCTCCAGATCCTGAACCTTATGCAAACCCTGAAAATGTTAAAAAATCTATAAAATTGTTCCGACGCAAGTCACAAAAATGAATGATTTTATTTGCTCTTTTTATTGTTTATTGTTGAATAATCCTCAGGAACCCATGTAGAGTTATAATGAGGATGTCTTTAAAGACTTGGAGTTGCTGATGATGGTTCTGATAGACTTTGTAACTGGTAATCTAGCATCAGCATCTCACGGATACTGTCTGAATTTGTCATAGCTTCTCTTGAAGATATTCACTGTAGTCGACTGTTTAACTTCTTGTGGGATAGAGTTCCATTTTCTTGGAATTCTCAAGCTGAAGAAATTGTTCCTGATACTGGTCCTGGAGTTTTGTATTTCCAAGTTCAAAGGGTCATTAGCCATTCTTTTTTATAAACATACAGTCTTTGTACACTGTAAGTGTACAGTGTACAATGTACATTGTACAAAGAATATTGAAAAACACTGTACAGAAAAAAATAAAGAAAGGACCACAAAAATGATCGGAATCAGAGACTCTTTACCATTTCTTCAAGAAAACTGATCATAGATCTGTATTCTATTTGTTTCTTGCAAGGAAAATTTTAATAGATAATTAAAGGTTTTGATTTTGCAAAATGATAAATTTTACTTTTTTACCTTCATTGACTCCATGCAAAACTCCAGTGTAGGGACTGGGTCGGCGATGTCGCAAAATTTCTGATAAATGTCGAAAAATGCTTTCTCTGCCGCCTTACCAAGAATTTAAAGTTATACCAAATTCAAATTACTATTAATTTTCCTATATATCCAATATCCTTACTCCATCGAATGACGGGTTGTTTTAGTAATAGTAATAAAAAAAGCAAGTCACTCCAAAATTTTATTTTTTTAATTATTTAAAACTAGTCTGAAGTGCCCGGCGGTACCCCTGGAATTTTAGAAACACTTGAAAAAAATTGATCTTTGAAAGGACGAAAAAAAACTTTTTGAAAAAATACATTTTATGGGTTACCTAAAAAAATTAGCCCATTTAGTCCAGCCGTTTGGCAAGCTATAGCTAACATATCTATATATATATACAAATATATTTGAAGAATCACCTTCAAATAAAAACATTTTAATATATTTCAGAAATATATGAATATGAGGGAAGAGCTTTATTATAAGATAAGGGTTAGATCTGAACCCTCAGGGCCAACTCCCAAGGGCACCGGCACCCCCCGGCTCCCAAATACTTATGGGAAGATCCTACCTGTGGATCGGGAAGTATAAAACATGTTTGAATAACTTTAATATTGTTTTCCTTTGATCGTTTTGAAAGGCTGTCAACTTCATTTTGAAAACTCTTGAGAAGCGGAGCAATGAGAAGACGGGTTTCCTCGGTGTTTGTCTTCTTGAAACTCCGGATCATATCAATCAGACCCTTCCGGGATAAATCGCTCTCATCCTGTCTGTATCAAGATAGAGATTAGAAAATACTGAAATCAATTAATCAATCACTAAGTATCTGAAAGGGAACTAGTATGCATGATATTAGTTGTATACTGTAACTAGGAGAGTGTTTGTTCACATTCTACTGTGACGTGTAAGAAAAGTTCTAAAAATAGGGTTTTTTTTGTGAACATTGAACAAACAACATTTTAAGGAACTGTGAGTAAGCGTAATTTCAAGTGAACCTCCATGGAAAGATGCAAATTACCGATTTACAACAGTAACGCTTAAAAGCTTTGAAAGTATGAATTATATATTGATTGATCGATTGATAATCGTTTATTTCTTTATACCTAATTACTGGTATCTTAAATCTGAATTAGATATGAGATTAGAATTAAACTGTTTATTTTCATTTGCGGTTTCCCTGGGAAAGTGACTTGCGCATTTCTTGCTAATAAGAAGTAATGGCGAAATTGTCAGAATGAAATAATTTTCGAGTCAGGAAACTGATAGTAGCTTACACATTTTTTTAAGATTAAGGTTTCAAGAATACCAATGTACATCGGGCAATGCAATCCTTGCATGGAGGGTTCTTTGAAATTATCTTACCGTCCCTTAAACAAACAATTTAAGCCCCGACTCTAATGATTTTGCAACTTAACTATGCGTCTTTAATTTAATCTAATCAGCCAAGTATATATTTATAATGCATATTAAGATGTAGAGATGTTTCAGAAGTTTTTTTAAATGAAAGAGAAAACTAACTTTACATATTTTATGCGAAAAATATGAATTTAAAAAAAACTGGTTTACTTCAGAAAACTTTCTATAATTTTAACTAAAACTAGATTTATTTTTAGAGGAGAGTATTGTTAGATTTTCTGAAAGATATTTGTAAATTAAATATAAATAGTAATAAGATGTAATAGACATGGAACATAGAAACCAGACATACCTAATAAATTGTATAAAATTTAGAAACTGATCTTAAGAGGGTTTGTACCTGACAGTAATTTGACCGGCAAGATCATCCAGCAGCTTCTGTGTGCCGGTCAGATCGAAATCCTGCCGAACAGAGATAAATACTTAGAAACTTCTCAACTTTAAACCTATCAGTTATTAAATTTGGATAACCATAACTATTAAGCCCATTTTTCTTCTCCATGGAGGTTGATATTAAAAAATCGATTTTAACAACTTTGTTTATGTAAAGACAGGAGTATTGTTGTAATGGTGTAATGTATTATTTCTTTTTAATCGTGTTTTCGAACATTTTCAAGGTCTTAAAAAATGAAAATAAAAAAATTAGAATTAACTTACAAATCAAATTAAATCAGACTTTAAGAGATATTTTAATTCCATCCTTCAAAATAAAAATGACTTATACAAAATTGTATATCAGTCTATTATTTCAATTAATTTCTGTACAATTCTAAATTTTCATTCCTGCCAAACTGTGGTCAATGATTGTAGTTTCGACGCCATTTTTACATCTGAAAGTAATAGATATATCATATAGGTACAAAATAAATTATAAAAAGTTTTAAAATGTGCTACATGTGGAGCAGATAGTTTTGTGTTGTCCTTTTACATTTTAAAGCGGGATAACACCATCGTCCATCACCCCTTATTTACATCAATTCTTCTTTTGAAAATCCCATATCACAAAAAATCGATAATGTGTTATGTTTCAAGAATACTCAATTATCCAAGTGTTACAACATTTTGACCCCCNCTCAAAAACTTCATGTTACTACTTTCTTACATATTTTACTAAATCCAATGTATTCAAAGAACATAAAATAATAAGCCAATTACAATCATTACATCAAGAATGAAGAATTGAGAGTATTTTCGCCATTAAATTTAGTTTCTGAAAAGCCACTTAACGTTTTCTTTAAAAACTGAATTTTAAATTAAATAAAACTCAGAAATCTTAGCACTATGTTTAGGGAACAAAGCAATACAGCTGATTTCTAACAAGTGTTTTTAGATTCTCTCATCGCTACAAATAATTTGATCGTTACATTACATTAAACATTTTATGTATATTGTAAAGTCACAGTGTGACTTTATAGAAAATATCACAGCTTAAGCATTGTTTTACATTGCTAAATCGGAAACCAGAAATAGTTCACAATGAAATTCCTTTTTTCCTTTTTTTAAAAATGTGGTAAACATATTTTACTCGCAAACAGTTCTGATATAACAGTTGTCCAGAGTGCCATAACAAAGAAAATGTAGGAGATTCCAACCTGTAACAAAAATCGACTAAATATATCCTTTATTTCTATTTCAAATGACTTAAAAGATTTTTTTAAATTTAAAAAAAAATATAATCATAAATGTGAAGGAATTGTAAGACATTTGAGAAAATTAAAAAGTCGGACACTATTTTAATTACAAAATTGCAAAGGGGTATATTTTCTTGAAAAATCATCCTTCTCGTTTAAATGGGGAAAATTAATAAATTTTTAGATAAAAAGTTTTGAAAGGGATGAAAAAACTTGCCTTTAGATTTCCAATCTTAAATTTACAATTTGCATCCCCAGATAATCAAATTTTTTCAACCCGAGGGGGAGAGGGGGGGAAGGGGTGGTGCTTCTTAAAATTTTACACTCTAGGAAATTGTTCTTTAAATTTAAAGCAAATATGCCTGAATAAAAGGCATGAACCTACTTGATACGAGTTAGGTAGTTGGTAAGGAGCGCCACCAATTTCCTGATTAGCAAACCCCACAGGAAACATTACAGCAGCAATACAGAAGAATATAACTGAACACGTTGGAATATAATTTATTTCTGATAGTTTTATTTTTTAGATCAGAATTAAATTAATAAAATCTATACTTTTATAGTTTTTACAAGAACATTTTTGGGTTAGGTCTTCTGACCCAACTGATCAATTAATTTTCATCTAAAACCTGCAAATTTTATTAAGTATATTTATTAAAAAAAACATTTGAATTTGCCATTTTAACTCTTAGATATAAAATAAGCCTTGGAGGTTCCTATCCAGTAGATAATGATTGTTTTGAAAACAAGTCTGATCTAAGTAAAGTGTTTTATGAGCAACAAATATTCTGATTTTGAACATGCAGAGAAAGTTTTGACTTTTATTAACTCTAAATTACAAGAATGACCTATTTTTACAGTTTTTTTGTGAAATCTATTTGAAAAAAAATCAACTACAGTATCTAAATATGAATATATTTTTGCGAGTGAAAAAATCTATAATTATAATTAACCTGCTGCGAATCCAACCCATTTAGCGTATAGGGCGGTTGCTCCCCCCCATAGAGAAGCTAGTAACAGAACTAGAGTTGTAGTTATACATCCACAACCTAGAAAATATTATAGAGAAGCTAGTAACAGAACTAAAGGTGTAGTTATACATCCACAACCTAGAAAATATTATAGAGAAGCTAGTAACAGAACTAGAGTTGTAGTTATACATCCACAACCTAGAAAATATTAAAGAGAAGCTGGTAACAGAACTAAAGGTGTAGTTATGCATCCACAACCTAGAAAATATTATAGAGAAAACTAAAGGTGTACAATCGTCTCTGAAGTCTCATCCTTTGTGGGTAACGCTGTACCTAATTTCTGGGGGAAAAATAATTTCAAAAGGGAAGGGGGAAAATTAATGATTTTTCAAGAAAACATACACCTTTTCTTGTTTGGGTGAATCTGAATCCAATTTCCCGTTTAAGAAATTATTTTCAAGTAAAGGATTTGAATCTATTCAATATTTATTTTATCATTTCTCAATCTAATTTAAACTGGATAATTTTTCCCACGCTTTTAGATATTTTTTCCCCACTACTCTGCTCTAACCTGATAGAATGGATATGAGTGTAATCCACCATTCTGTTGATAGGTCCGGAGTATAGCAGACCGAAGGTCGGTTGTAAACAGTTAAACAAGATTGTAATAACCCTAACCGAGTACTTCCTCCAACCTGAATATACAAAATTCAAATCAACGGAATCTCAAGGGGTAAAAATTTACAACAACAAAAAGTGTAAAATGATATAAATTGCTCTTAAAATGATAAGAAACAAAAATTCATACATCATTTGACTAAAATTATGTTAGATAGGCATTTTTTACAATAGGAAAAATGTATCTATACACGGCCCTTTTTCGGCCAATTAAAGAGATATTTAAGTTATTAAGTTTATGGTTTTTTAAAAGAAACCTATGACATTGCGCCAATATGAATAAAATACTAGAGCTTTTTAAAAAAAATATACATATCTAGTTTACGAGAAACATGTCCTGAGGGGGGGGTTCATAACGTAAAGCCCTGCATATTGTACAACGCATTATATTCACCAACCTCTGTTGTAATCCAATCAGGCATTGCTAAGCTTGTAACTGCAAATATATCTGCAGCAAGGAAAAGAGCACCAGACATCAACGCTAATTTATCCATTAATACACTGTGTTGTTAGGTGTACATAACAACTGTACACGTTGTGTAATGTACAATAGAAGTGTACACTGCAGTGTGCAGTGTTCTAAACAAAAGTACACGCGTTTAAGCAGTGCATGCACAGATCTACAGTACACGCTATATAGAGGTGGACTGTAGCAGTGTTAAAGGCCCTAATTTTAATTAAGGCAGCTGCCTGTATTATGGATGCTGTATCTATCTATTGAATTGGTCTATTTTCTCCGATACTAGAACTCACATTTCTCTGTAAAAAGAAACTGAAAAAATAACATTTTAGGGTCCGTCCTAGTATACGATTTTTGGACCCCCCCAGGCCCCCCCCCCTCCTATCAATTTTGTACATGACCATTTATTTTTCAGCAAATTTATTATTATTTATTTTTTTGTTATTTAGGGTTAGGTTAGGTTAAGATACTTTCTGGGCCGAGCGCTGCGGCCACGGATTAGGTTAGTTAAGACAACTTCCTGATGGTCATGTACAAAATTGATAGGAGGGGGGGGGGGGGGCTGGGGGGGGTCCAAAAATCGTATACTAGGACAGACCCTTTTTTTGTTATTTAGGGTTAGGTTAGGTTAAGACACTTTCTGGGCCGAGCGCTGCGGCTAGGATGGGCTAGGGGGCCGAGCGCTGCGGCCACGGGTTAGGTTAAGTTAAGAAACTTCCTGTCACACCCATGTACAAAATTGATAGGAGGGGGGGGGGGCGGGGGGGGGGGGGGGGTCCAAAAATCGTATACTAGGAAATTACCACATTTTATTAAAATGATCATTCGTCCATATCCAAGTTTAGTATTTACAATTTAATATGTTAAAATAACTTATTTTAATCACAATTGTTCTTTGAAAAATACAACAGGGGTACTGCAACTGGGAAATTAATAAGTAGCGTTGTAAATGTAGAAATGAAAACAGGTCTTAAATAAGCTAATAGTAAAACGTTTATCAAGCAGTAAGCACCTGCAGGTCCTGCACAAATCACAATTCTATTCAGCACTTATCCAATTTCTATTTAGTAATCAGCTGTTCAGTGTTGATATTCATGACGTTTACAGTTTACTTTGAACTAAGACGACATTTCAAACTGTTATTGTCTCAATATGGTAATGTTGCAACGTCTATACGCAACATCCTCTATACTGAACTTCCGACCTACTAACTTTCTGATGTGGGGAGAACAATATTCCAATCGTTCTATAAATTGCAGAATTTAATAGAAAGAAATTTGGGAGAACCATGGAGATGCACCGGAGGGATTTCATTTTCACTGGAGGGGTTTGAAAAATCGCTATTTATAATTTGAAACTTTACGTAGGACGATTTACATTCCAATGGAGAGATTCAGATATACTTCCAGGTGAAGTATAAAAATTCCACTGGAGGAATTCATGCAGGGTGTCCCACGAAACATGACAGTTGCGGTAGATAGTTTTGAATGTCGTCTTCCATACACTGTATTAGATATTTAAGGCTGTTTGCAGTTTATTTCGTTTAAAAAATCTTTTGCTCAAATATATTTTACGTTAAAGTTAATTTTACTATAATATGAATATACTTTTCTTATTGTCTTTGCAGTATTAAACAACTTATCAAATTATGGAAGACATTCTAAACTTTTTACCAACTGTCATGTTTCGTGGGACACCCTGTATATCCAGTTTTCTTAAATTCTACTGGAGGTATTCAGATATCTATCCAGTTTTTAAAATTCCACTATAGGGATTCGGATATCTATCCAGTTCTTTAAATTCCATTGGAGGGATTCAGATATATACACTTTTTAAAAATTCCACTGGAGGGATTCAGATATCTTTCCTATGGGTTTATCATTCAACTGGAGGGATCAGACATCTATCCATGGGTTTTTTTTTAAATTCCACTGAAGAGATTTAGATATACTTCTCAAATATACTACTGGGGGTTAAAATTCATGGAGAGATTCAGATATATATCCAGGTTTTTTTTAAATTCCACTGGAGGGATATTTAGTGGAATTTTAAACCCCCGGCCCAAGGAAGGATATCTGAATCTCTCCAGTGGAATTTAAATTTTATTTCTAAACCCCTAGGAAGGATATGTGAATCCCTCCAGTGGAATTTAAAACCCTCAGGAAGAATATCTGAATCCCTCCAGTAAAATTTCAAACCCCTAGGAAGGATTTCTGAGTCCCTCCAGTGTAATTTGAAACCCCTAGGAAAGATATCTGAATCCCTCCGGTGGAATTTTAAACCCCTAGGAAGAATATCTGAATCCTGTCAGTGATATTTTAAACCACCGGCCCCAGGAAGGATATCAGAATTCCTCCAGTGGAATTTTAATAATATTTTCAAACCCCCAGGAAGAATATCTAAATCCCTCCAATGAAATTTTAAACTCCTATAGGCTATAGATGGATATCTGAATCCCTCCAGTGGAATTTTAAACCCCTAGGGAGGATATCTAAATCCCTCCGAAGGAATTTTAAAAAAGGGTATATATCTGAATCCCTGCAGTGGAATTTAAAGAACTGGATGGATATCCGAATCCCTCCAGTGGAATTTTAAACCCCTAGGGAGAATATCTGAAGCCCTCGCGGTGGAATTTATAACCCCAGGAAGAATATCCTAATTCCTCCGGAGGAATTTCAAACCCCAGGAAGAATATCTGAATCCCTCCGATAGAATTTCAAACCTCTAGAAAACTGTCAAAATTGCTTTATTCATATCATATGCATAGCATTAAAATGTTTACTAAGTTTTGCTTTTTCGATTCCAAGTAAATGGTTACTTTTTTTAATTAAAAAAATAAAAGTTCTTTTCTTCATGTTTTTTATAAAACATTTTTTTATATAATAATTTTGTTTGTGTTTTACATGTTAAGGGATTAGCTATTATTAAAATGATTATACAAGCTGTAGTGAGCTATATAAAATAAGAATATGATGTGACATGTTTAAGTTCATGGGACTGAAAAAGTTGATAACAGGAGAAAAGAGTGATAAAGAAAACTTTAATTTCAAGTTTGAATATGATGTAAATGGTAAATAATCCTTCTAACTTGAACAATACTATGCTTTGTAGAACATGTTCACAATTGAAATAGAGATGGGCGCGAAGCGCTCTAAAAGCCTAATAATTTCCCTTCCGCATTTTTTTCCTCCGAAATATTCGCATTTATTTTTTTGCGAAAATTTTGCCGTTTTTCACAGATTATAGCGAAATTTTGCGAAAAAGCGAAACCCATAACACGTCCTGTATAAAGTCTAACGTGTTTAGAAACTGAAATAATTCTATTTCTTTTACATCCTTTTTCCATTTGATGATCTGTAATTGTTTCGGTAATTTTTATTAATTATTAAAATTCATCATGCAAATTTATATACATAAATTAATTATACATATATAAAATATAGGTTCATGATGTAAAATCTATCTATATATATTATATCTATATATAAATTTGGCTTGTCTGTCTGTTTGTCTGTTTGGGTGTCTGTTTGTTTGTATCCAATAAACGTCAAAACGGCTAAACCGATCGGGTCCGAAGTGTTCTGTGGAACATCACGTGACCACAGGGAAGGTTTATGATTGATAAAAATTTTAAAAAATGTGATTTAAAGGTTTTTAATTTTGTAAAAAAAAATTAGATTCTTGAAAATCCGCGAATTTTTTTTTTAAAAATTCGCAAAGGAGTTTTCTTCTTTGTTTTAAAATGTAAACAAAAAGAACATGTTCACATTTTAAATAGAAGATGGGCGCGAAGCGCCCTAAAAGCCTAGTATATATATACTTTGCTTGTCTGTCTGTTTGTTTGCCTGTTTGTATCCAATACACGTCAAAACGGCTGAACCGATCGGGTCCAAATTTTTTGTGGGACCTCACGTGACCCTAGGGAAGGTTTGTGTATGATCGAATTTCCAAAAATGGCCTCTAACAAAATTCGATTTTTGAAAATTTTGAAAATCCACGAATTTTTTTAATTAAATTAATTTAATTAAATTTTGTTTTGTTTTTGTTTTACAATGTACACAAAGAGAACATATTCACAATTGACATAGAAATTGACGCGAAGCGCCCGAAAAGCCTAGTAATATTTATATATACAATGTTATATATTCATATCTGAATATTGCCTAAAAGCATGAAACATTGTGTTTATGAATGTAAAGTAAGTACGTTGTTAATTTTTTTTTTGTATTTTGTATTTTGTATCTCTACTTCTTTTTATATACTTTTTTAGATATAAAGATTGGGAATCCAGCTTAGACTGGAAACCAATATTTCGCTATAAAAGTCAACCAACTCAATTTAAAATTTTCAAACTAACCTTATAGAACATTCCCGAGGTTCCATCGAGTTTCCCAACTCAATAAAAAATGAGGTATAAATCGGTCAAGGGGTTCATCATGAGTTATGATCGGACATCCAAAAAACAGACAGACGAACAAATATTACTTTACTTTAAATATATATAATCACAATATACTTGTATATTTTGTCATTTTAGTAACTCATTCCCTCATTCCCTCTCCCATTCCAATACTGGAAGTTTACCAAAGTAAGCATGTCTAGAATATTGATTGGTAAATAACTTTTAACCACGTAGATGCTTGAATTATAGATTGCACCTATACCATCTCTTCTTTGACCCCCCCCCCCCTTCCACCTTCATGTGTAATAGATATACCCTTCCCTTTTGATGACAGCACGTAGACCACCCCCCCACACAAGCAATGTCCAATGCACACAGCTTGACACTTAACATGCCTGTGCGACTCAAGGTTTATTAGCTGATGTTAAACAGGACAGGACAAGAAAGCATAGGACAAAATAGGATAAGGAAGGACAGGACAAGAAAGTATAAGACAAAATAGGATGAGGAAGGACAGGATTACAAAGTATGAGACAAAATAGGATAAAGAAGGACAGGACAAGAAAGTATAAGACAAAATAGGATAAGGAAGGACAGGATAAGAAAGTATAAGACAAAATAGGATACGGAAGGACAGGACAAGAAAGTATAAGACAAAATAGGATAAGGAAGGACAGGATAACAAAGTATAAGACAAAATAGGATAAAGAAGGACAGGACAAGAAAGGATTAGACAAAATAAGATAAGGAAGGACAGGACAAGAAAGTAAAGGACAAAATAGGAAAAGGAAGGACAGAACAAGAAAGTATAGGACAAAATAGGATAAAGAAAGACAGGTCAAGAAAGGATATAGGACAAAAAAAGATAAGGAAGGACAGGACAAAATAGGAAAAGGAAGGACAGAACAAGAAAGTATAGGACAAAATAGGATAAAGAAGGACAGGACAAGAAAGGATAAAAAAATAGGATAAGGAAGGACAAGGAATAAAAAAGAATAAAGGAAGACTAAAGAGAAAAAAATCTGTGTTTTACCTATAAGTTTTTTATAGTCTTATTTTTAGTGGGTAACCCTGTGCGAAGTAAGGAACCGGCATCTAGGAAAGCTCATCATATGGCGACCAATTTGACTTTATTTTAAGTCGTATGTGCAATTTAGCCCCCCTTGTCCCTATTAATTGATGCTGAGGCCCCTATCACCTGTTTGAGAGCTGCCTGACTTGTATATCAAGGTCAAGCAGTTATCTGATCTGAATAAAGAAGTCATCCCTTAAAAATGCTTGAAGCCATCAAAAAAACAATCAAAAATAATTTTTTTCTCAAAAATCTTTTTCTTTGTTATATTTGTCATATTTATTTGTTATATTGTTTATATTTTTTTAATATTATGATCATATTTTTATTGGTAGGTTCTGCTCTAATCAGATATGACTACATGGATTTCAAGACATGGCGCTGTGTGCGGAGTGTGAGGGGGGGAATATGCTAACATATGGGGAAATGTGGTTAGTGCATGGGGAATAAAAAAATTTAAAAGATTTATAATGTTCTATTAAAATAATATTAATTGTTCTATAAATTCGTTTTTGAATTTAATATTGACCCCTGTAAGGGCAAAGGGTGAACAATAGCGGCTTCCTAGACATGATTCGCGGCATTTTGCCAACTTTAGATCAACCCTTGATCAACTTTAGATCAATCCATAATCTAACCCTTGATCAAACCTTGATCGTATTTTAAAAATCATCTTTCGTTCTCACACGAATAAAACTATAAAATCATGCATCACATCTTATAATGTTGACCTTTTAAACATAAAAAATCTGCGTGGTTTCCAAAAAAAATTTTTTATGAGATCTTAGTGTTTTTATGGTTAAAATTTGAGAAGAAAGTTTTTGGAAGACTAAAATGGTAAAGGGGTGGTCGAAAAAAGTTGAAAGGTTATAGGAGGGACTATATTGCAATTGGGTCAGAGGTTTTGAAAATAAGTATTTGTTGTTGCGGGACATCTTACAGAAAGACATTTCAAAGATAGACATCATATATTTCAGACAGAGGCTATTTCAAGACACGACATTGCATAGACATTTCTCAAAAGATAGGACATTTAATAGAAAAAACAACTGTTATACAAAGATAAAAAATTTACAAAAAAGAAATATTTACAACACTTTAATTTTTGAATTAAATGTCATGTCTCATTAGATCTGAATATACATATATATATATATATATGTATATATATATCTAAAGTATTAATTTATGTTTGTTTATTTGTTAACCGATTTGCCTCAAATTTTGATTTTGGGACCTCGGGAGAACCACGGGAATGTTCTTAGCTTGGTTTTTAAAAGTCAAAGTTAAGTGAATAAACTTTAATAGCAAAATCTAGTTTCCCGGTAAAATCTAAAAGTGCGGGGAAACGGCGGGAGCAACTATGAGTAACCCTGGCAACGCTGGGTTCCCAAGCTAGTATGCATATAAAAAGTAGTAATTTCTGTTTGTTCATTTTTTTGTCCGAAAGGAAAAACAGATAAAATTATAATTTAAGACCTAACGCGGGTAAACGGTGGGAGTAACTATGAGTTATCTGGGCAACGCTGGGTTCCCAAGCTAGTCTTTAATTAAAGAATAAAATAAGGGTTTTGATTATTATATTTAAAGGAAACACTGCAGATTCTTGTAAATTCTAATATTTGTGAACCACACAGGGTGCCCCAATAAACATAGTTATTAGGTGACGACTTGAAAATCTTATTTAATTTCTAACAGTTGACAAATGACAAAGAGTGGATAAAAAAGATATCTTATGAGTTATTTCAAAACTTACAATGCCACCTTATGATGTTACCTCATGTCATATCATGTCAACAACAAACACGATAACTTTTTTGATATATATGCGTAAAGTTCGAAAAGGGGTCCATGAAATATCTCCTCCAATGTATTTTGGTGGTGACATAACATTTATTAAAGTCACATAAAAATTTTGGGGAAAATCTTAATTTCCATGACCAAAAAAGTCCTGAGAAAAAAGCCATGGAGTTGTGTACACTAACAAAATTTTTATCCAAAACTTTTTTTTAGATTCGGAATAAAATTTCTTGTGACATTTTTTCTCACGACTTTGTTTCAAAAGAACTTTAATTAATTTTGGTATTTTTTCGGTGTTTTTATTTCGGACAATTGATTAAATAATAATTGAAAATAGAAATTTGCCATGAATTTAGGACATCCTTAGTCGTTATTATATAGAACTTAGAGGTTTAAGCCATGGAAATTGTAAGTAACTAATCATACAATCTTATAGTAAATACTCTGTGATTCGATCAGCATAATAACATTCTTTATGTAGAGAATGTATTTTAGAAATATGTTTTACACGTTTACAGCAAATTTCTTTTGAGTTTATAGAATGTTCCAGATATTTTCCAAGGCTGTAGTATCATTTTACTGATTTTACTGTAAATTATAATTTTTCCGGACTAATTTGGACTAAATTGTCACTTTCATCTTTGCTACCAATAGAGTTATAATTCTATATACATGTATTAAAATCTTCCATGTTTTCTCCCTTCTCCCGGAGGGGGGGGGGGCGCAGGGGCACATTTTCTGAGACAATAAAAATAAAATAAAAAATAAAATAAAAAATAAAAAGAAGGAAACAGAAAAAGGAAATAAGAAGGAGAAAATTGGCAAAAAAATTTAAGAAAACTTGAGTGCCTTCTGAAATAAATGTCCTGTCTTATGAATTGATGGGGTTTATAATATTTTTTTTGAATTTTGAGAAGCTTATCCTTTTCCCTTCTTTTATTAGATTAATGATTTTAATTTTTCAGCTAAAAGTAACAATATGGAGACAAATTGAAATTTTATATAAAATATTTGGCCAGATTTAGGAGAAGCGGTTTGTACTCATCCTCAAGCTTGCAGGGCCCACGTGGATTTAACGGTTCTGTCAATATTTCAGAAAACTGTGAATTTCGATCACAAAATGACTTCTTTTACATAATTTTATAGCCTTTAACTTAAATACTTTTTTGTTGGCACATACATATGAATGAAAAAGTATAAAATAAACAAATCTGTAAGTCTAAAGACTGTTGAGTTATAGACAAAAACATGTTTGATTTAAAATAAAAGAAACCGAATGCTTCTCTCTCTCGTTAGTTCACGGTGAGGGGAGTTTTTCTCAAATTCGAATTTAATGTTTTAGACATTTTATTTTCTCAAATTCGAATTTAAGTTTGCGGAAAACTGAAGATTTTCATGCTTGAGCTTTTCTTGAACTTTAATAGGCATTTACATCCTTACATAAATAATTGCTATTCGTGATGCAAAAATGTTCAGTTATACATTTTTTATAGTTTAACTCTATTCTCTGCATAATATCTAGTCTGATCAGAGTTTAATTATAATGTATCAGTAAGCCTATGGCAGATTCTTTATTTTGATGCTTCTCAATAGCATTTATGCGTAAAGTTAAAAATCTAAGTTTTTAGTCTGAAGTCATTAGTTTTGACTCTTTTTCAGGTTTTTCAGGTAAAATTAATGTTTCATCTGCGACGCGCCTCTTTATTACGTACATATTTGCTTTCCAGCATTTGGACCCCCCCCCCTCCCCTTTGAGAAATACTTAGCTACGGGCCTGCTGAAGATCTGTTGAAGAGCTATTTAAGAGCTATTTAAGAGCTATTGAAGAGCTATTGAAGAGCTATTGAAGAGCTATTGAGGAGCAATTAAAGAGCGATTGAAGAGCTATTAAATAGCTATTGAAGAGCTATTGAAGAGCTATTGAAGAGCTATTGAAGAGCTATTGAAGAGATATTGAAGAGCTAATGAAGAGCTGTTGAAGAGCTGTTGAAGAGCTATTGATGAGCTATTGAAGAGCTATTGAAGAGTTATTGAAGAGTTATTGAAGAGCTGTTGAGGAGCTATTGAAGAGCTATTGAAGCGCTATTGAATAGATATTGGAGAGATATTGAAGAGCTATTGAAGAGCTATTTAAGAGATATTGAAGAGCTATTGAAGAGCTATTGAAGAGCTATTGAGAAGAACTAAAATGTTTTGAATTTCTGGTGTGGAACCAAATGATGGAATTGAGTCTTTGCCTCAAACTCTGATTTTCCAATCCATATATCTCTGTAACCCGATAACTTAGACCTCAGATATTTCAAGCTATGGTTTCTTAGATCAAATAATCTAAGTGTGAAATATCATGTTGCAAATATATAGAGATTACAAATTTGAATTTGTGACAAAGACTCATTTATTTCCCTTATCTCTGCGTTAAATCAAAACTATGATGATCTACGGGATCACAAAATAGTTCCAGTAATGTTGCAATGAATTGGACCTTCTCCTTCAGTTTGCAATGTTTGATCAAATTCATAAAGAACGTTTTTTTTCTTTTTTTCCGACAATATTATGATGAAATAAGTTGCTTTAAAAATAAAATTTTTTGTACATTTATTTCTTGTATTGTAAAAAATCATTGAATTTTATGATTCCGATATTAAAAATGGTAAATAAACTTTATTTTCTACTTATAATACAACTCTAATTTAGTTCATTAAAATACACAATGTAGAAAAAAAGACCATTTAATTCATTATAAAACAGCAAAATTATTGATATTTTAATTATTATATTTTTTTGTAACAAAAGTACAGATGCACATTTGAAAGTACTGTATTTCTTAATTACACGTACATTCCATAAACAAGAATATTCAAACAAATTACATCACAGCCAGGCTTTTAGAACTTCAATAGCTCCAATAATAGTGCATTTTATTAATATTTTATTTATAAAGCTTTCAAAGGGATTCAGTTGTCTTGGTTTAATGAACAGTGCGACTTTATTTTCGAACCCTTCAGGGATCATAGTCGTGCGAAATTTGAACAAATACAGAAAAAAAAATCTTTATTTACAAAACAAATTTGTTTGTGTTGCTTTAAAAGTTTTGAGGCAATCGTTTTTAATTAACAATAGGTTTTTTTTAACTTTCTAAACTTTTATTCTTCAATAAAAGGTGAATATTCGATGAAACAATGGTTCATATTGTTGAGCATTGATCGAACTAGATTACTGGATATATCACACTCTTGTATATTTAGATGTATCAGAGATTTACAGCCTCGAGCTACAGCAGCCACACCACCATCCCCGACATCCTCGCAGCCTCGTAGCGAGAGTTTGCGGAGGTTTGGAAGTTTAGATGACAAATATCGGAGACCGGTATCCGATATGGAGCATTTTCCAACATCAAGCGACCTAGGGGAAGAAAATAACTTTATTATTGAAACATTTTTGTATCAGAAAAATATATTAAATTGAAATGAAAATATATTGACAAAAAAAAAACAATAATTACTCGCCTCAATCTCTACTTTCAAATTTCCTAAAACTATCTTTGCAACCTGATGATGTAAGCTTTTAACATTTTAAACTTTTACTGCATTTCAAATAGTAAAGGTGTAAGATATGAACTTGCAAAGATATTAGGAGTATGATAAGCGTTATCAGTTCCTTTTAAATATGTTGTACAATGTACAATTAACAAAATTTACCTAAGTTTTGTACATACAGCTGCTATGTACTGTAGTGTAGAATCAGATATGATGGTTCCTCCTCTGCAGTTTAAATACCGTAATTTATAGCAATGCTTCAAAACCAACCTATCAATCAAATGTCAATTAGAAAAAACGCTGGAAAAAAAATATTGAGGAAAAATGTGAAATATGTTGAAAAATATTTAAAAATAGTTTCCAACCTGAGGCCAGCATCTTGACAATCAGTAGATTTATCCGAATACTGCATTGATGGCCCTATCCTGCAGATAGAGAGATACCGTAGCGATGGACCTAGTCTAGATAGCTCAGCTATTCCTGCATCTCCGATACCGGAGCAGTCGGAGAGAGATAGCTCCCGGAGCTGTGGGATATAGGTAGCTATACTTCGCACTCCGGTATCTAAACAGACAAATTTTAAAACACTAAAAAATACAAATCGGCCACTTAACATGTCTTCCTAATATCAGCTGGCAGTGGGGCCATTCATCAATATTTTTATTGCAATAGAGAACCTATTTGGTACACTTAAATGAGGATGCGACTAAAAATGAGGACGAACACTGAGAACGCACAATAAACATTTAACAGATTAAATTTTTTTTCGTTATGAGCGATTGTCGCCATGATTTAAAATATTTAAATCTTGTTCCCCGATTCTGCCACTTTATAGCCAGAGCAAAATAAATTAACAGGTTGATTTATTGATTGGTTTGTGTCTTGCCATTAGAAAATAATAGATCACTGAACAAGGAATCAATTAAACAAACAAAAAAAGGGGAGGAGTGTTTTTTAACTTTTTTAGAAGTGAACAATAAAAAGTATTTTGTTTAGTTAAAACTTGTTTTAACAATACTTTTAATCTATAAAATGCTTTTAAAGGAATTGAGTCTTTACCACAAACTCATATTTTCTAATCCCGTATCTTCACAAACTAATGGCGTAAAGTTTTGATATTTCTCAGATTTTTTGATGTAACAGAATTCATAGTTTGAAATATATATGGTCTACCATATTGGATTGCAAAGGTATAGGGATTATAAAATTTAAGTTTGTGGCAAAGACTCAATTCCTTTGAAAAACAACAGTAAAAATAGTTTTGATCTCTCTTTATTTGCATCTAATCAGCATAAAATGTGAAGATAAATGGCAAAATCTATAATTCAAGTACATTTGCTGCTTGTAGATGAAAAATGATAGATATATAATTTGAAGAAATACTATTGTAAAGTTGCACGATTCATAGAGTGTTTAATATTAAAGGGACTGTAGACGTGATTCATAGAGTGTTTAATATTAAAGGGACAGTAGACGTGATTCATAGAGTGTTTAACATTAAAGGGACAGTAGACGTGATTCATTGAGTGTTTAATATTAAAGGGACAGTCATACGTGAAAATAGTAAAATAAACGCAAAATAAACGCCGTATTTTACGAATAAACACCCAAATGACCGAGTGGCCATTTTGGTCCCCATGTCCCTGTTTGATCGTCAAATTATATACGAGGTCCCCATATGGCACATGGACATTGGGTCCACATTTGACTGGTTTTGGTCCCACTTTGATCGTGTAAACCTTAACGTGATCTATAGGGTGTTTAATATTAAAGGGAGAGTAGACGTGATTTATAGAGTGTTTAATATTAAAGGGACAGTAGACGTGATTCATAGAGTGTTTAATATTAAAGGGACAGTAGACGTGATTTATAGAGTGTTTAATATTAAAGGGACAGTAGACGTGATTCATAGAGTGTTTAATATTAAAGGGACAGTAGACGGGATTCATAGAGTGTTTAATATTAAAGGGACAGTAGACGTGATTCATAGAGTGTTCAATATTAAAGGGACAGTAGACGGGATTTCGAGTGACTCGGTCCTACATTTATAGATTTATAGATCTATTTCTGATCAAGGATGATCTCTCAAAATTGATTATTTTTAGTTGTGGGTTCTCTATAAAAGTATCTTGCATATTTGTGCTGACTTTTATGTGAATTGTTAGAATTCGACAAATTTTAAGATGGAAAAACGAAAATATCTTCCTCATTGCAATTCAGAGGTTAATCGAGAACCATTAAAAATCTGACATGCCACTCTTTAAATAAAGGGTCGCTTTAAATGTTCGTGTACAGTCTATTTAAAGAATATTCTAAATATATATTTTATCAACTAGAGCCTGGCCTAAAATATATAATCTCGATGTATAGGGCGGGGGCCCACCTTTAAACTTGTCGGTTTGAAGTATTGGTGTGTAAATATTCGAAATAAAGATATATTGATGCAACAATACTTAAAGGGACTGTACGCGTAATTTCAAGTGACATTCCATTTGCATAAAGTTCAATTAAGTTCACTTGAAGTTCACATGTCCGATTTACAACAGTACTTTTCTTAAAACTCCTATCTGTCTAACAATAATGAAGATATCGTTTTTTTCTATTTGAAAAAGAGTAAGATTCTGTTAATTTCCTTTATTGTTTAATGAAGCATAAATAAGCAAGTTACTTTTATAGAGAAATCACAACTGAAAATAATCTATTTCTATGTATATAATCTATAATCTAGACAAATAAGAATATCTCTATCACTCTCATATTTGTAAATCTAAAGGCTACCGTTTTAAATTATTCAAAAATTGAAATTGCGTCTCTACTCCCATTAAAAATCAGATAGAATTTAATTATACTTGTCAAACAAGTACTAGGGGGTGGAGAGCAGTAAAACTAGAATTTTACAATCAAATAAAATTAGGAACGATTGGATTAAAAAATATTCATTACAATTACAAAGATTAATAGACCCGGGGGGGGGGGTATAGTGAGGGGATATTTAGTCAATTGAAGAAAAATAGGAGAATTTATAATTATCTTATGAACGGCAGTAGTAGTTGATCGAAATATGGGATGAAATATTGTTAAAAGGAGAAAATAAAATACCACACTGAAAAGATTATAAAGTATTCTAACTATTTTGCCAGTCATTTTTTTCTATAGTGCGATCCTTTAACGGGTTCTCCAGTAATTACTTATCAAAAGTGATCACATTTTAAAATCACATTTTTCACATTAATATGCCACAGTCTCAGAGTTAATTAGCCGGTACATAATGTTGTCAGCCGGTACAATAAAGTGAATTTAAGTAAACCCGGATGAACCGGAAAGATATGAAAAAAAACTAGAAATAATTTGTGTCTATTGAATATTGGCCTTGACAGTGCAGTTTATCAAATCAGTCAAAATGTCATAAAATCTTAAAATTACAGACTTGAAGATGCCGAGCCTTACACATTCAAGTTCAATATAGTTGATGGATGGATAGACGGTAGGTGGATGGTTGGATAGACGGTAGGTGGATAGATGGATGGATGGATATACGGTATATAGAGAGATGGATAGATGGATAGACGGTATATGGATGGATAGACGATATCAGAATTTACAAAATGATAGACGATATCCAGGATGGATAAAGGGATAGACGATATCAGAATTTATAAAGGGATAGAAGATCGTATCAGGATTTATAAAGGTATAGACGATATCTAGGATGGATAAAGGGATAGACGATTGGGGGCATTGTTCAATCAAATTCCAGGGAACCACACCTAGATTTAAACAGAATAGGAAATTTAGGCGCAACTATTCAAGGGGATGGGGAGGGTTGAAAAAATTCTTTTGTTCTCCAACATTACATCCTTGCTCCAAAAAGCTGTAAGATCCTTAAAGCACCATAACCTCCCCCCCTCACACAAATTGGCAAGTTGTGCCTTTGATTGAAAAATGTAGAAACTGAAGATCTTAGTAAAACAGACAGCCAAGGAGCAGCTCAGATGCGTACACAGTGCAACCTTAATGGGTCTCAGCTCCTAGGTCACTTAAAGCTGTTGTTTTATGGGGTTTCAGGCCCAAACGGGTGCTAAGCCCCCCCCTTCCCCATGGAAAGAAATGTTGTTATAACCCCCCACCCCACCACCACCCCTTCTGGAAAAATCCTAAACAGTAATCACGCCCCTGAATTAGCTGAATAATCCTGAAGGATAAAGGATAAAATGGGATTAAAGGTTAGAAACTATACAATGAGACATTTTAAAGCACAATCAGCTATAAACTGTCACAGGGTGAAACCTTGAAAAAACAAGGGATTCGATCCTTACGCGAACTAATCCTAGCACTACAGGGAGGGGAAAAAACTGGAAATTTCTAATATTCTATCATCTTAAAGAAACTGTTTTGGCATAGTTTTAAATGATACTCAAAGAGAATAGAATATATATTAGAGTGGAATTTACTAGAAAAAAGTGTAAAACGGCCATTTTGTTTTACTGTTTCCATGCTGCAGGTGTACTTCACATATTTGTGTTATATAACCTTTTGGGCCCTGGAACATCATTTTATCGAAAATCTGAAATTAATATTAAAAGAAAACCAAATTATGGTTTCATAATTGACCAATGATAATTTCACATAGACTCTATGCCTTTCACTTTGCAAACGATGATTTTCCGTTATAACTATAAATCAAATGATGTTTTTTATTCACCTAATTCATTTTATAAAGTTTATTTAACAGCTTTAAAAAAATCGAAATCGAAATGGATAGTCTAGGGAACATACTGTATTAATGTACTCTACTGCATATAATTTGTGAACATTTACAAGATTTGTACACTTTGAACTCCCTTTCAGGCTGAAAGGGACTGAAAAAATTCATACCGAGAGATTGTCTAAATTTTCCTCTAATATATATTCTATTAATTCTCTTTGGTGATACTTTATTTAAAAAGTTACATTAATTGTTTGCCCGATAAACAACAGTTTTAAAAAATTTGCGAATTATCAAAAGACGACATATATTCAACTTTTCCAGGGTACCACTGTATTACTATGAATATCATAAATTTTATGTCTTTGAGCGGTCCTTTTTCCATGAATTTTCGTCTATACATTTTGCGTGAATAATGAAAAAAAGTTGATTTACCTGTTATATTTATGCATTTCCTGAGATAAAGATGGGTCAGGTTAGGACAACTCGTCCCAATCATCTGTAGTCCTGTATCGTCCAGGGATACACACTCGGACAGGTCCAGGTAGGACAAGGATAGAAGGACACGCCGTCCTGGATTCAAGGTAGACACCATGGGACAACCTAGGAGGACTTCAGTTAAGGGACTTATCACTGGGTTCAAAAGAAATACAGTTAAACCCTAAATATTAAATACATCGAAAGATTTTATCAAATGTCGTCTTGACAATTTTTCAATGAGTTTTATACTATTTTACGTAAATCTCAGTATTTGCGAAAATACATAAATAGCCATGAATATGTTGGAACAGTTTTAAAGAGCTCCATTTAATCATTTAATTAAAAAACTAAATATCTGCAAAATTCCATTATCAAAAAGTGAAGAATACAACATTTGATGAATTTTTTCGATGTATGGCTTATTTAGGGTGTAACTGTAGATAACTCGAAAAAAGTTTGGAGTTGATATGCATGCATAAACAAAATAACAGAATCTAATTAGAAGTTTTTTTTTTAAAGTTATATCTTTAGTAGATCCTAAAAAATGCATAAATTTAATTTACTTTCGTAACTTTTTTGGCTATTTTTATAAGGATTTATATATATCCACAATAAATGACAGGTCTCAACAACTCTCTGTATTATCCTACCTCCTTTTCCCTTAAAATGGCAAACCCTTTTATTATAACAATAAAATTATTTAGAAATTATTTAGAAATAAAGATGAATTCCAGTGACTTTGAAAATAAAACGTTCGTTTCATCATATTTCTTCAGAAGTTTAGAGTAATAATATTCTTGCTTTAAAACTTCCATATATACAGTTATGATTTTATATTGTGCAGTACACTAGCGTTATCTAAAAATTAAAGATGTGCTTTCAAATCAGACATTTTTAATCTGAAGTGATATTTTACATAATTCGCATTTTTTAGAATAAAAGCCCCCTGTATATAGTATATACGCCATGATGAGTACACACGCCTAACTTCAAAAATTTGAGCCAAATTAAGCATTTTGTAAATTGAAAGGGTTATGGTCAGAAATGAACTAAATTTTTAAATAATTTAAAAATTTCTTTTAAAAATTAAAATGAAATTAACAAAAAGTTAAATTAATTTTTAAGATTATTAATTTTAGTTTAGTCCACCTATCATTCATATTTTGACAATTTTTATTGTTTCCTGAACTTGCAAAAGATGAACTGTACCTGTTATATCAAGGTGCTCTAATCTACTGTACCTGTTATATCAAGGTGCTCTAATCTACTGTACCTGTTATATCAAGGTGCTCTAATCTACTGCAACGGTTTAAAAGATCAACCAATCCTCCGTTCGTCACATTTCTAAATACGTAAAATAAAGGGGATCTATATATATTAAATATTATTCTATATATATTCTAAAAATATAATTTTTATAAAACAGACCGACAGACACCAAGACAGACACACAGGCAGACAGACAGATAGACAGAGGACAGTCAGACATGCACGCGGACAGACAGACAGACAAATAGATAAATAGATGGAACGATAGATAGATAGATAGATAGTAGGATAGATGAGGTTAAATATACAGATTGTAGGATAGATAAGGTTAGATGGATAGATAGTAGGATAGATGAGGTTAGATAGATAGATAGTAGGATAGATGAGGTTAGATAGATAGATAGTTGGATAGATGAGGTTAGATAGACAGATAGTAGGATAGATGAGGATAGATAGATAGATAGTAGGATAGATGAGGTTAGATAGACATAGTTTCCAATTGATTGAAGTACAGAGATTCCAGGAACTCAGGAGAAATTGAAGGGACTGTGTGCTTATTTTCAAGTGGCCTACTAAACCCACATGGATTTAATCATCCTACATTTGTGGCATAAAACGCGTTGGGTTCATCTCGTACCGGTTCGGAATATGCAACGATTGGATTCTTGTTTACCTGCATCGTTGAAGATCAAGATGAACTAACTGCGGACAGTTCCGAGCTAGCAGAGCCAGCGATCTATCGGTCAACTGCCGGCATCCTCCTAGCAGGACCGTCTCAACACATGGAGCCCCTAAGAGGGATCGGTCCTGTTGGGACCAGGGACCTCCTTGGGACCGGTCCTGTGGTGACCAGGGACCACCTTGGGACCATGGTCCTCCACTACCCCAGACTAGTTTAACGAGTATACTCCTCACTGCTTTATCAACATCAACATCCTCTTCCAGACTAAAAAATAAAATAGTTTTGAATTCAATTTGTTTTAAACTGAATAATGTGGAGCCAATTATTTTTCAAATTATTCTTAAAAATTAATTTTAGAAATTCAATTGATGATTTTTCAGAAACATTGATCTTCAAAATTGTGCCGATTTAACAATATTTGATTAGGTTATTTTTCATGATCGGAAAATTTCTCCGCCAAGCTTAAATCTTTTTAGTCTCATAATTCGATCCTTTTATGGTTAGAATCCTCTCTGCGTAGACTAAATACATTAGTAATTTCGGAAACCTGCTGAATTCCATACATTAAAAAATGATGTTAGGTACTTTCCCAAAGGCATTTTCCCAAGCGGCAACTTCCCAAGGGTATTTTTCTAAGTGGAAACTTTCCAAATGTGGAAATTTCCCAACGGGCAATTTCCCAAGTCTGTTCTAGCCGTAGCGCTCAGCCCCCTTGCCCATTCGTGCCATAGCGCTCGGCCCCTATTGAAGCCTGCGGCGCCACCTTTGGGAAGTTGCCGCTTGGGAAATTGCACATTTGGGAAGTTGCCACTTTGGAAATTGATACTTGTTAAGTCGCCCTCTGGGAAAATGCCTTTGGGAAAGTACCTAGCACCTCAGCAATCTATCTATGCAACATAATTAGTTAAAATCTAGTAACCTGATCGTTTTCCAAAGGTGTATGTTCCACGCTAGTTTATACAGCCGGGTACATGTACTGCTTACACGAACCAGATCCTGTACATAAATCATATTTTCTTACTTAAAGAGATTGTTCGCGGATTTTGTTCGAAGTGTCTAAAACAAAATCTTGAAAATGATGCTTTTTAACAAATTTTTTTTTTTAACCATTATTTCAAAAAGTTGCTTTACATACTAAAAAGTTTTTTAATTCATCTCTCAAAATTAGGTTAAAGTGTAAAAAGGTGAAAAGCTAACCTGAGAGTTAAGATAGCTAAGCAGGTGAACTAGCTGACGGTCAGAGAGAAGGTTTAAATAACAGGGAGGTACACTTTCACCTCGTCGAGGCCGTAGGTTCACCCCTGGACATAGCCGGGATATCCGGCTCATATCTTTACTCAAAGGTGTTCTTAATTGCAGTTCCCGCATTTCAGCTGATGATTTGGTTTGGAAATCAGCTGATGTTATAGTTTGACCGTCAGCTGGTTTAAAATTTTGACTGTCAGACGACACAGAACTATCACCATCATAACTGTGTTCCATTGTCTTATAACCTAAAATAATCATTAAAATTAGCTACCTTGCATGTCAACATTCTTTTGCAGCGATAATCAGAAAAGTCTGAAATAGGAAGACAACTATTAGAATCAAGTTATAACATTAAAAATTCAATGAGCATAGACACAGCAATTGTGCAGTGTGAGCAGACCCGTTTTAGTAACTGATTTAATAAGTGTAAAACTTTTTGTTTTTACACATCAAACACACGTAGGTATTTTTATAATGTCGTCTTCTTATTCCGTTGTTTTCTGATTATCACTGGTTATTCTTCTTTTTTTCATTACCTGAGTCTAATGGAGAGGGTGTAATATTTTTTCTTATTTTCTCGCTCCCTCTAGGGGTTGTGTGCCTCGAACCTCCGAAAGGGGAGCCTCGAGACATCCTGGAAGCTCTGGAGGGTTTCTTGTACTGTACATGAGAAGGATTGATGGGAAGAGAAGGAGTTAACTCATCATCATCAGTTGTAATGTCGTCTTCTGCCTCCTGATATCTTTCCAGCTCTAAAATATTATGATTATGAAAAATGGACAAAGTTAATAACTTTTTAATGGACCAAATAAAATTAACTTATCATCTCTTTTTAAGAATCTTGTAACGATCTCTTAATGGTCGAATCCCGGAGATCTCGAATGTTATAACAAATGAGAGATCGGATAATTTCCACATCCATTTAACAGTTCTCAGCTGAATTCAGCGTATTAATGAAATATTTTCTTCTTCTAGGATTCATCCCAGAAGCTGTTAATATAATACTCTTGAACTAATAAATGTTTATCTATCGATATTATTCAGGCACGGATACAGGGGGGGGGCGGGGTACATTCGCCCCCCCCCCTGACAGATGCATAGAGGGGCGTATCCCGCCCCTGAATTTGGAATTTTTTTGTTCCTTGTTTCAGAATAGCTTCTCAATAGCATGCTTAAGGGAAAGAAACCCTAGTGCAAAACAGGAAAAATATCTGTCTTAATAAACAATAATGTGTGAAAAGTTGAAAATCTAGTTTTTTAGTCTTTAGTCATTAATTTTGACTCTTTTTGAGTCTTTTAAGTCAAAAAAAAATTTCGCCTGCGCCGCAATTTTTTGTACCTAATTATGAATTTTTTGTTCCTAAAATATCTTGCCCCTCCTAACTTAAATCCTTTATCCGCCCCTGATCTTATTGAAGTTCTCCTTATCTATTATCTATATATTTGTAATTTACAAAAGCGCGCTAGCTGCAAATGCCGAGAACACGTGTTTCTTTGAAACAATGGTTTTAAAGAGACTGTTGACGTTATTTCAAGTAACTCTACTTTTCAACGATTAGTCCGTTTAACCCGCACCGATCTCAGAAAAATGAGGAAGATATTCTTTTTCTGTCTGAAAATCTATAATTTTTAATTGTGGCTTCTCTTTAAACGTGCGGATTTATGCGGCGGAGAGAAGAAAGGAAATGAACAGAATCAAACTTGTTTTAAGATTAAAAGGGCAATATGTATCTCATCCACGCACCTCTGCCCCTTTAGTAAAAGTAAATTGAACCTGTATGAAGCATAAAATTCTGACCGCGTCAACCTTGTTGCACCTGCTAGTCCTGTCCATAGAGCTAAGTACAGTACAAACTGGGACCGGAAAGGTTGACCCGGCTCGGAAATTCAAATGTACTACGCGTACTGCCCGTGCATCGTTGCACAGATGAAGGTGTTATGAAACCGTTGTTAATCAGACACGCAACTATTTAATTGGGAGTCATTACGTCTGCACTTCTTTTTAAGAAATAATTGTTAAAGGAAAATGTTTAATTTGAATTAGTAAATTGTACAATTTGTATAATATGTTATAGACGATATATACAAAGTTGTTTCATATTTATCTATCAAAATTAATATTTATGTTTTATTCTAATTTTAATTCAGTTTAATTTAAAAAATGATAATGATAAACGGGAACAATTTTAAATGTTATTTGGAATGCAATTTATTGAAGTAGATATTTTTAATCTTTATTTTAGATAAACCAGGTAAACAAACTGGTTATTTCCTGTTTTAATCTTTTCTCTTATTTTTTATTTGAACATTTTTTAAGTTCTGCTTCTGAATTCTTTTATAATCTATAGTTTAATCTTAGATATTTGAGAAAAACCGGTCTTATCATTGAAATATATTTATGTCTTTCTATTTTTCTAACTATATAACCTAGAAAGCCTTATCACGACTTAATATTAGAAAAGAATTGGTTTTAGTGTTTAAAATTCAAACCAATCTACTTCAAACGCAGTACATAATCATGATTCATGGGGCCTCGAAATACTGAACATATATTTTAAAAATTGTCAATACCGTCACTTACATTGTATAAGCCCCTCTAACTACTGCTACAAGAAATGTCAATTTTCTTATTGTTTATTTAGTTTAATTAAAATATTTCGGTATTTTAATAGTTTAAACTTTCTTTATTTTAACCATAACAATAAAAAGTGATATTTTTTATAAAGAATTAATACGTAAGAAAAATTCGGCAAGGAGCAATTTTTATATTTTCTAAATCTAATTTAAGTTTTCTTCATGGTGGTCAAAGGCCTAGAAACTAATGTGCCCCGGGTTAGAGGAGAACGATTTATATCTTTTATTCTTAAAATAATAAGTGTTTCACATTTTATAATTTTATTTTTAATTTACAAGTTGGCCTGTAATTTGTTTACTGAAAATTTAAGCACCGATATTTTTGTATTCCATTTTTTGTACCTATCTGAAAATCTATCAAACTATCAAACTATCTATCTATCTATCTATCTATCTATCTATCTATCTATCTATCTATCTATCTATCTATCTAACTAACTAACTAACTAACTAGCTAACTATCAAAGATTCATTAGTTTTTCTTAATTTCAAGGCACCGACAAAAAAATTAACCTAATAAGATCTAACTGTATAACATATATATTATAAATGAAAATATAAATATGGCCAGGAAGTTGAAAATGAACGAATTTGAAAACAAAAAGCAAGGTGTACAAAAAGAAAATGGAAAATTTAAAAACGAATTCCTGATTTGCAAGGTTTTGTGTTGTATTAAACTATTTTAGAAACCAGTAGGAGTAGTTCAGAAGCCAAGCTCTGGCCTTTTTGTTAGAGAGTTTAAAATAGTAGAAAACGGTGGTTTAAAGGAACAATTGAGAGAAGGAATAAAGGAGAGGGGGGGGGGAACAAAGTAAGGGTAGCAGGGGGGGAAGGGAAAAGGGGTGGAAAGTGTCAAAATCAATCAGGCCTGGTTTGTACGTGTTAGAATGGTAAGGGATGGAATTCCTCTCACTGTTGGGGGTCATCCTCCCCCCCTCTCCCCCATTTTCCATACCCCCCTCCCCTCCTTGATTATTCAAATAGCAGGGTGGCAAGGTAAATACAGCTTTAATGTAAATATTACTTAATTCTACAAATTTTGTCAAGAATTCTCAAATATGGAGAAATCAGTTTCGATAGATTTATAAAAATATAGAAAAAAAGAAATGAAAAGTATCACTGAAAATAAAGAAAGAGGTTAAAAAATGTTTTAAAATAGTTATTTTAGGTTGTGTTTCTTTAATATTTTCTTAGAATCGTTTTATATTTTAGTTTACATATACTTCACCCCTCTAGACAGCAACAACATTGAACAAAAAAAGGTCGGTTCGGAAAATTCGATATTTTATCTTTTCTAAGGAATGCACAATCCACACCATATGAATAATAAAAGAGAAATGTCATTTTTCTCACGAATCCGTTCTTCAACTCGCCCCCCCCCCCCTTCACCTCACCATACCCCGGTCCTAGACTAGACCCCTGGTTCGATCCCCTGCAGTGTAATGGTTAAAATATTCATAAAGGTGAAAACCTCCAAACCTTAGACTAGTTTATTTTTCTTAGACAATCCTTAGACTAGTTTATTTTTCATAGACAAAACTTAGAATAGTTTATTTTTCATAGACAAACCTTAGACTAGTTTATTTTTCATAGACAACCTTTAGACAAGTTTAGTTTTCATAGACAAGTTTATTTTTCATAGACAACCCTTAGATTAGTTTATTTTTCATAAATAACCCTTAGACAATTTTATTTTTCATAGACAACCCTTAGACTAGTTTATTTTTCATAGACAACCCTTAGATTAGTTTATTTTTCATAGACAACCCTTAGACAAGTTTTTTTTTTCATAGACAAACCTTAGACTAGGTTATTTTTCATAGACAACTCTGAGATTAGTTTATTTTTCATAGACAACTCTGAGACTAGATTTTTTTTCTTAGACAACTCTGAGACTAGTTTAATTTTCATAGACAACACTGAGACTAGTTTATTTTTCCTTGACAACCTTCAGACTAGTTTATTTTTCATAGACAACTCTGAGACTAGTTTATTTTTCAAAGAAAACCCTTAGACTAGTTTATTTTTCATAGACAACCCTTAGACAAGTTTATGTTTCATAGACAACCCTTAGACAAGTTTATTTTTCATAGACAACCCTTAGACTAGTTTATTTTTCATAGACAACCTTCAGACTAGTTTATTTTCCATAGACAACGCTTAGACAAGTTTATTTTTCATAGGCAACCCTTAGACAAGTTTATTTTTCAGAGACAACCGTTAGCCTAGTTTATTTTCATAGATAACCCTTAGTCTATAGTTTATTCATCTATACACAACAGTTAGACTAGTTTATTTTCATAGATAACCCTTAGTCTATAGTTTATTCATCTATACACAACAGTTAGACTAGTTTATTTTCATAGATAACCCTTAGTCTATAGTTTATTCATCTATACACAACAGTTAGACTAGTTTATTTTCATAGATAACCCTTAGTCTATAGTTTATTCATCTATACACAACCGTTAGCTTGGTTTATTTTCATAGATAACCCTTAGTCTATAGTTTATTCATCTATAAACAACAGTAAGACTAGTTTATTTTTTACAGACGATCATTGGGCTATTTAAAGAACTCTTTTAATTTGCAAAAAAAATTAACAAAAAATTGAATTCATGTAATTGTGACTAAAACGAGGGGGGGGGGCACTGTTTAAATAGGACTATGCAACCAAATTAATTGTTATTGGTGTTTTCTCTCTTCAACTAAATTTGGCATCAATTTTCTATTTGATTAGTGGGGCATTGTAAATAAACATGACAAATAAACAGGTAAACTGCAGATAGATAGATAGATATTTTAATGGTTTTGCCATGCATAAGCAATCTTTTTTTATCTTAAAAAAATCTATAAAAAATGTCAAAGGTTTAAAATGAAAATGTTCTGTTCAACATTGTTTAAATGTTATTCTGCTAATTTTTTAACATTATTCAAAGATATAGAGAAAGACAATATAAAAATATTTCTGCTATTCACGGATATTAAATGTTATTCTGCTCATTTTTAAACATTATTCAAAGATATAGAGATAGACAATATAAAAATATTTTGGAAGATGAGCAAGGCTAACGTTAACGTTTAGTCCTGGCATTATCGTAAAATACATTTTATTTGTCCTCCATGCAGGATTTCAGGCAATTTTAGTGTCATTACAACAACATAAAATCTCCATTAACGGTTCAAATACTTGGACGAATAGTGGAAATATTCTTAATGGATAAACAGAATAAACCTTGGAAATCAATAATGTCCATTCTTGAATGTATAATGGATTTTAAAATAATGTTTTGCGACAATTTTGGTTGTTTAGTACTTTAGTATAACTACCCCCCCAATAAAATAAAAGACAATAAAGGGATTGTAAGTATGATTCCAAGTGACCCTGCATGCAAAGATGGCTCATTTACAACGGCATCCTTTGTCTGATCAAGTATGAATTAGATATCTATGTTTTATTTATTTTGATTGTTTATTTTTATTCGTGGTTTCTCTGCAAAAGGAATTTGCGCATTCTGGCTTTTAAGAAACAACGGCGAAATTCACTATATAAACACTTTTCGACTCCGAAAAACGACGTTATCTTCTACATTTTTGATCTAATTAAGGTTTCAAAGGTACCCTTGTAAATCAGGCATGGCTATATTTGCATACAGTTTGCTCAGTTAGAGCAAAAGATTAAAACAATTCATTATTTTCTTAAAACCACGCTTGGAACGATGGGGTAACTAGGGGGGGGGGGGGTGCAACCTACCCTAGTTCCCCCAAGAAAGGGGGGGATTTTAGTAATATATCTTTTAAAATGAACATTTTACCCATTGGTAAATTAAGTATGGTAGAGTATGATAGAGCAAGCAAGGTTGTCTTTGAATAGATAATACGCACTGTAACCTTCTTTAAGCTTAATCCAGGATATTTTAGAGGATTAAAGGAGTAGTTTAGGATCCTAAACATCACCAGATAGACCTTGATTTTACGCACACAAATGCGTACAATGTGATAAATACAAAGGAGAGTACGCTAGACTAGAAGTTATGCGCAAGTGATAAAATATTAAAATAAAGTTTATTTTAGTATCGTTTGGCATAATTTTTGTATCAACTTATTCTTCCATATATTGCTATGAATAATAAAACTTGAATCTCTGAATGCAATTTTATAAAAAACATGAATACTAGAGAAGCTACGATGTCGCAAAGTCGTGCAAGTAATTATAAAAACATGAATACTAGAGAAGCTACGATGTCGCAAAGTCGTGCCAGTAATTATAAAAGCATGAATACCAGAGAAGCTACGATGTCGCAAAGTCGTGCAAGTAATTATAAAAAACATAAATACTAGAGAAGCTACGATGTCGCAAAGTCGTGCCAGTAATTATAAAAGCATGAATACTAGAGAAGCTACGATGTCGCAAAGTCGTGCAAGTAATTATAAAAAACATGAATACTAGAGAAGCTACGATGTCGCAAAGTCGTGCAAGTAATTATAAAAGCATGAATACTAGAGAAGCTACGATGTCGCAAAGTCGTGCAAGTAATTTCGCAAAACTTCTACCTTTTGTCCAGAATGAAGTGGGAGGGGCTTACTTTTAAACCAGTATATATAGTTATATCATACAATATGGTGGTGCTTAACTTTTATAAGCAAGTGGGTAGCTTATTAAAAATATTTGATCTAAAGTTTTGGTTTCGTTGTAGTGAGACCCATAAAACTGTGGAATAGGAAGACGAAATTTAAGAAATCTTGTTTAATTTTAATGTATTTAAAATCACATCCTCTTTTTTAATTTCCCTAATTTATGTAATACATTTAAACCTGTGTTTAAAAACCATATTGTAAACAACGTTTTCTAGTAATTTAAAATATTATTTGCTACATAAACTATAGATTGTAACTGTTATTTTGCACTGTGTTTTTAACCATTGTAAATATATGCTTGATAACTATTTATTTATTTATTTTACTTAGCAAATAGTTTTAACAATGGCTTAAAAATCAATTCATTACGTGAAATGTGTCTGTGAACACTTCACAATTGGACTATTTAAAATCATAACTTTAATCTAATAGTTGTCTTCCTATTCCACAGTTTTATGAGCCCAACTGTATGGTATAGACAATATATGTATACATAGATCTATTCTATAACCTTCCTGCTATCCCTCTCCCAATTCGTCAATACATCCATACATACATCTATATACATATATATACCCATCCATTCAACATCATATACTCCTCCAACAATCCGTCAATACATACAATTAACCTATTCGAAGCCTATTATGAACTCAACCATCTAATACACATCTTTAGGTTTCTGAATGCTCGTCATGTAAATATTTAGAAATATTTTTCACTTCCTTAACTTAACTAAGAATAGAATTTGCGGCGCAAATATTAGTTTTTAATAAAAAATTGTTTCACGTGGTTTAATGAAGAAAATCACAAACAGACAGATGTAAGAAAAAAGCAGTAAAGGAGTTGAGTTTTTGCAACAAACTCTGATTTTCTAATCTCTATATCTTTGTAATCCAATGTCGTAGACCTTAGATATTTCAAACTATGATTTCTATTAGATCAAACAATATAAGTTTGAAATATCAAAGGTTTATGGCATTGGGAGAAGTGTTGATCAATAAGTCTTCTGTTTCAATCGATTTCTCTATTTCTCTCTTTCACCTTTTCTATTTTTCTCTATTTTTTTATTCTTCTATTTATCTATTTATCTATTCCTATAATTCTCAATTTCTCTAATCCTCGTTCCTTCTATTTCTATATATCTCAATTCCTATACTTGTCTATATCTCTATACATCTTTTCCTTTATTTCTCTATTCCTCTATTCCTCTATTCCTTCTATTCCTTCGATTTTTCTATTCCTTTATTTCTCTATTCCTCTATTTCTCAATTTCTCTATTCCTCTATTCCTCTTTTCCTCTATTCCTCTATTACTTTATTTCTCTATTTATACTATTCCTCTATTCCTTCTATTTCTCTATTCCTCTATTCCTCTATTCCTCTATTCCTTCATTCTTCTATTCCTATATTCTTCTATTCCTCTATTCCTTTATTCCTCTATTCATACTATTCTTCTATTCTTTTATTCTTCTATTCCTTCTATTCCTGTATTCCTCAATTGCTTACCTTTTTTAATCTCCGGTGTAAGAACGACTGACGGGTGCATTTTTTGCATAGGACTTGGTTTAAGCCTCTTAGGGAGTAAATGTTTTGGTGGTGGTCCCCTAGCCACACCGACTTCAACAAGACCACGCCCACGGAGGGCAGGGTGAACATAATCGGGGGGTGGAGTCCCATCCCAAGTTAAATCACTACCAGAAGAATTTCCACTGCTTGACTTTTCTCCCTCTGTTCCCATAAACTGACTGGGTGAGGTTAAAAGGGCTAGTTTGGACCCCCAATGAACCCCTCCAGTGGACCCCCTGAATCCCCCCTGGGACCCCTTGTTGGGGGTTTGATCCTGCGGGAGATATTCGTGTAAGCTTGAGGATTTATTGCATCTGCCTAGCAGGACGTCTGCATCTATAGAAAGGGGTCTACTGCTGCTGTGGTATTGTGTGTATGCAGATGGTATCTTGGCCTTTCTCGGGAGAGATCCACGCCTCACAGCAGGTTCTGGTACACACCGAGTACCTCGCCGTATCTCTAGATCTCCATCACTGACATGTCCGTTAGTCCGTCGGTTTTTTACTTTTCGCACTTTGGAGCTGAGTTTGAGAGAAGAAATGCCTAGTGGGAGACCGAGAGAAACTACTCCAGGGTCCGTTCTCTCATCTCTGGTTTGATGAGTGTGCTCCAGGTGGATCCGTTGGTACGCAACATCATCCAGTCCAAGGGTCGGATGATCATGTCGGATGTTTAGAAATACTTCGTGGGGGAAATCCCCCACCCCTTGGGACAATGTTACACCCTTCCTGTCTCGGAGGGCGTGTACGTGGGCGTTATCCGTGAATTGTTTAGGTTTAGGGCTGGGATCAGGAATTGGCGAAACAACTTTGGTTTCCTTCTTAGGTTTCCTCCAACGTTGAACTAGAGGTAGGTAGCAGGACATGTTGCTCCTAGTCCTGATTACTACTGCTTTTCCTCTCGTATCCACTTAAGATTGATGATCTCTGCTGGGACGAATGTGCTCCGGGGTATAGATCCAACCGTCTTTTCTCCAACCAAGATTATTCTAACAAATATCCCACTTCTATTCTTAGATTAATCTTGACTCTCTCTCTCTCATGGGATTTTAGACTTAATCCAGTCCATTCCAAGATTATTGTTCGGTACTAAGTGGATGTCAGGTCCGACAATGGAGGCTTACTTAGAATCCTTATCTTGCCGCACGTTCATCGAGACAATATTTAGATAAGGGTAGATGGAAAGGAAAGTTGGTCCTTGTGTTGAGATTTACTCACAGGATGAGTGGGAAACTCATCATTAGAATTGATTTCGAGGATTCCCACTGAGTTAGTGTCAATATATTCTCGTCAATTCGGGCTGGAGCACAGCAAGGATTTCGCCTCGTTAAACCTATAACACATGTTTAACCTCACAATCAGAATTAGTCACACTTTCCATATCAAGTCCTAGTTTCTTGTATTCTCAGACCCCAGATTGGGTAAGAACAGTTAGATCACAATAATATCACGGACACGAGAAAATGTCAGAAAATGGATGAGTTTTCTATCTGGTAACTTTAACGGTAAATGGAAAGGTATCGTAAAAAATGTTTGATGTGTTTTCAAGACTATTTGTTCATTTCATGTTTAATTCACTTAAAATGTCAACCAAATAAAACTGTAGTAGTTGTGTTTTAAAATTTAAAAAAATTAACCAGAGAGATGTGCTTTGTGCGGAGAACCAGTGACAACTGAGGTCCGTAGAATGTTAGGTATTCTCTACACGGTTTGGATGGAATGTGGGCACACGGGACAGTGCAGGCTATCCCCAGGGGGGCAACACACAAACAGGGGTGTAGTTCCACAAATATAAAAGAAAGGAGGGTGAGGGGGTCCTCCTAACCTTCTATGTTCAAACAATATTTCTGGTTAAATTAATTCTGACTTATAGATATTTAAAAAAATCATCTTTTCATTTAGAATGCACACAATACACATTCTTTGTATCTAATTTAGATTTTATTAAAAGATTTTGAAATGATATAATGTTTTTGTTTTTTATTTGGAGGGGGGGGGGTGCTTAATTGCCCCTGTATTCAAGCAAAGCAAGCTGGGAATGGGTCTCTGCTAAGAATACTTATTCATAAATCATCATTTTCATAAAATATACTCTGTACTCTCCCCATCTTAGTTCTCTCTACTGCTTCAACAGTCTAGATTCCTTGCTGACATAATCTTGATTTTATATTTTCATAAAATAAACTCTGTACTCTCCCCATCTTAGTTCTCTCTACTGCTTCAACAGTCTAGATTCCTTGCTGACATAATCTTGATTTTATATTTTCATAAAATAAACTCTGTACTCTCCCCATCTTAGTTCTCTCTTCTGCTTCAACAGTCTAGATTCCTTGCTGACATAATCTTGATTTTGTATTTTCATATTTCAAACCAAGGTATTCAAACCTTCTTCATAGTTTCTCATAACGATATGCAAGATCAAGCAAAAGAATTTTGAAATAATAAAAAACAAAAAAAAAATGACTGAGTTTTAAAAGGGAGTGTCCTCTCATGACTTTATGTTTAAACATCAGATCCACAACAATATCCTATAAACCATTGTCTGCAATCGAAAATGATGAAGCTGTTCTTGTTCTTCTATCTGAAAATTGATAATTCACAAGAAATGCATACTTAAAAAAGGAGAAGAGAGGGGGGGTAGAAGGTTACATATTATATTAGAAGGAATGGAAGGAAACGTGTAGGATAAGGGAGGGGGAGAAGGTTGAAGGAGATCTACAAAAAAGAGGGAGGAAAAGGTTAAAGATTATATTGGAAGGAATGGAAGGAAACATGTAGGAGGAGGGAGGGGGAGAAGGTTATAGATTGTATTGGAAGGAATGGAAGGAAGCATGTAGGATGAGGGAGGGGGAGAAGGTTAAAGATTATATTGGAAGGAATGGAAGGAAACATGTAGGATGAGGGAGGGGGAGAAGGTTGAAGGAGATCTACAAAAAAGAGGGAGGAGAAGGTTAAAGAATCTGATGGACATATGGTTTGAATATTCAGGCACATTTCTCTGTTCAACTAGTTTTACATGGTTTTCTTTTAAGTGTGGGTGTTAGTATGCTGGGGGGAGGGGGAAGATAGGAAAAGACGGACCTCGCCTAAATTTAAAGCTTAGGTTTTTAAGCTTATGTCAATCTGTGTAACTACGTGTATTTACTTGAAGTTTTAATGGTGACCAAAACTGTTTTTATAAAAGGTTTAGGATAAGGACACAATCCTAAACCAAATTTTTCAGTCTATGTACATATTTTAGTCATAATAACGTTATTTTCTTATTTTGAAAAGGGGGAAGTGTAAAGATATTTTTTGGCAAAAAGTTAAATGTTCAAAATAAGGTTTGAACTACAAAATTTCTATTCTAAAATTTCTTTTTATTTTATCTTAAAACACATGATTTCTTAATTATCCCGAGTCCCTGACTCTTTTTAAAATGGCTCTTTATTTTTATTTTAAGTTTCATGATAAAGTATTGTTACGTAATTTCAGTTCAAAAAGTGGCATTAATAATTATTAGGAACAAAAAGAAACTCAGGTTTATTCTTTTTTTCTTATTTAAAAATGACAACTTTTATTTTGGATTTTATCCCTGATAAGCACCAAAATGAACAATAGTCTTTTTTTCAAATCAATGATTTGAGGGAATATGATGTTTATCATTTTATTCACTTTTTGATTGGATTGTCACTTACAATTACGTTTACAAAGTTTAGTTGTTAAAGTTCTTGGTTTTATAAACCTCGAAAACATATTTAGAATTCTGCAGATAACCTTGAGGTTGCAAAAGTCTATAAAAAGTGCAAAACTGAATTTACAAAATATATATTTGAGTTCCTAATGACACTATTGTAAAGATAAAGGGTGTCACAATAAATAAAGGAATTTGTGGTGATGCATGGTAAATTAAAGGTCCAGAGCTGGGAACTTTAGAATGGGATACCTTTAATACCAACTGCTTAATCCGAATTTTCAATGTAGACACTTTTAATTTCTTGCTTAATCCACTCTTTTTTGGATATAAATCAAAAACCGGTTTTTCAAAATTAAGAAAATTCCTCCAATTTCTGTCTATTAATCTTAAATGGCGCGCAAAATTTCAAATTTTCCGGCTTCTGATACGCGACTCTGATTGGTTGAATTTCATTTACTTTTCAGGATACAAGTACAAGATAAGGTTTGTTTTGAGATTAAGAAAAAAGAAAGGCTTAAGCATTAATCTCGATATCCACCATTCTGAAGTTCCTAGCTCCATGGTTGAACTTTAATGTCAGTGAGCCTTAACTTTAGAACCCATTTTCACCCATTAAATGAAGATTTTTTTTGGTTAGTCGTAGTTGATTATATCAATACAATAAAGACGACTTTTTATTAAGTTTCGATTGTTTACAAGCTTTCTTCGAATTACAAGTAATCAAAGAAAAGCCTTTTTAATCGACAATTCCTCTTTTTTAATGTTTATTTGTATCCAAGGCGTTTAAAAGCTTGATAAAAATCAAAATTTAAATCGAAAGTCGTCTTCATTGTATTGATATAATCACTGTACGTAAATTTTTTGTTTGATGGGCTATTTATTTGAAATCCGTATCAAGTTTTGTATAGCTAGGTTCCTATTCACTATTTATTCATTTCAAACATATAGCACAATTTTGCAGAATAGCAACCTTTCTATACTATTTAGTCAAATTATACAATAGCAGATATAACTTTGTCATGTATTCAAAAATTAGATATTACAATGCTGATTTAAACAAGCAAAAAATCTTGAAGTCGACACACGATTATTGGGACAATCTTTAAAATAAATTTTGAATTTTAAAATATTTTACAGATATTCAGTTGCAATTGCAAATCGTTGCACAGTTTGGTTGCAATCTTATTTTGAAAAATTATCTTCAGGGCCCATAATTTTGAGAAAGGGCATTCCAGAGCCCCCTACTAATTGATTATTGATGATTAAAGTGATTAAGATATTGATCAGTGTCTTGTTATGTAATTATACAATATAGAATAGGCAATCAGGGGTGAAATATCTATAGGAGTTAAAGGGACTGTACACGTAATTTAACCCTCCATTTAGATTGTAGCCAGACCGATTCATAATGGTACCTTTAAACTTCTTTTTGAGTAATAATGAGTAAGATATCGACGTTTTTATCTTTAAACGTGATGAATTCTGACACATTCCTTTATTTTTTCTGCCCCAAAAATCCGCAAGGAAACCCCAATCAAAAATATTTTTTATCTACAAAAATCGAAATTTTTTATATCTAAATACTTTTTGCTATCCGAAAAAGTGAGCTTATTGTTTTATTAACCTTCTACATTTTAAACCTTTTCAGGGCAGAAGAGAGGGGGGGGGGCTTAATATAAACTTAATATCTAAAAATCAAGTCGACTTTAAGTTTTGATTTTACAAATTAGATTTTACTTTTAAGAAAACTTTGAATAAAATATAAATTTTTTTTAAAAAATTCGTTAATAATATAATTTGACACCATTTTTTATTTCTACCTAAAACCATTGTTAACTCTCAGTACCGTGTATTATGTACTTTGTACTGTATACCCTATAAACATGAACTGAAGAACTCCTTGTAATATCTAATGATTGCTTCCTGCCTTGTTACAAACAGCTATCAATCAATATCGTTTAGGAATTCGTCAGGGACGTCCAGAGAGGTTTATAGTAGATGGTATGATGGTAGATTGAAGATAGTAGATTGTAGATAGTAGATGGTAGATGGTAGATGGTAGATAGTAGATGGAAGATAGTAGATGGTAGATGGTAGATGGTAGATGGTAGATGGAAGATGGTAGATGGTACAATGGTAGGCGATTATATTTATACAATGAACAATCTAAGTTTTGATTTTAACAAGCCTGTTTCAAATTACAAGTTTACAAGTAACCAAAAAGAAGCTTTTATAAATAATTGGAGCTTCTCTTGACTTCTATGTTTATGTGTATTCATGTCTATCTATCTATCTATCTATCTATCTATCTATCTATCTATCTATCTATCTATCTATCTATCTATCTATCTATCTATCTATCTATCTATCTATCTATCTGTCTATCTATCGATCGATCGATCTATGTATTTATCTATCTATCTATCTATTGCTCTCAATTTCCTCATCTTTAGATTACATGTATTGTTATTTGACCTTTATGTTGTAGTATCCTTAAATCTATTTATTCCTCAATTCATCCTTCCCTTCATCCACAAATATATAAATTAATCTAGGTGCGCAAATAAAATGGTGTAGGGGGGGCTCGAGAAAGTGTCCCCACCCTGAAATTGTATTTTTCCTTTTAAAGCTTATAAACCTTAAACAGCCATGAACTATCTTACCATGCGTTTTCTATTATACTTTTTTAGCTTTTATTCCTACCACAAAATGTTTCCTACCATAAAAAATGTTTCCTACCAAAAATGTTTCCTTCCACAAATGTTTCCTACGGCAAAATGTTTCCTACCACAAAATGTTTCTGTACACAAATTTTTCCTACGTTAAAATGTTTCCAAACACAAAATGTTTCTTACCACAAAACGTTTCCTACCACAAAAAGTTTTCCACCATAAGAAGTGTTCTACCTCAAAATGTTTCCTTTCACAAAACATTTCCTACCACAAAATATTTCATACCACAAAATGTTTCTTACCACAAATTGTTTCCTACAACAAA